CAAGCCATGGTATTTTCATAAGCATATGAAAGTTGGGCAGTGAATAAGGAAGACCCTGTATAGGATTTTGGAGGAGTGGCTGGTGGGTTTCAACTGCCAATCTTTTGTTAGCAGTCCATTGTTTATCCTACAGCGCCACACCAGGACTGTCTCTTATAACTGTTGTTGTTCAGTGCTGTGGAGTTGGTTCCGACTCGATAATGCCTTGTATAGGGTTTTCGAGGAGCGGCTGGTGAGTTTGAACCACTCACGTTGCAGTTCAAACTGACCTTACAGTCCAGTGCTTATCCTATAGTGACATACCAGGACTCCTCTCTTATAATAGGATAATAATAAGATTCTTTGAAGTGATATATTGTCATATTGCTTTTTGTTCTTTTTCTATTTTGCCTTTTTAATACTTACGAAAAGTTTTAAACCTTATGCAACAATCCTGGTAATAGTATAATAAACTTACCTCTAAAGGAGCTCTGGTAGTGTAGTGGTTACGAACTGGTCTGTGAACCACAAGGTCAGCAATTCAAAACTACCAGCTGCTCCACGGGAGAAAGATGAGGCTTTCTGCTTCCGTAAAGATTTACAGCCTCGGAAACCTGTATTTCCGAGTTGATGACTCATTCCGTTACGAGTCGGAACTGACTCCACAGCACACAACCACCAAAGCCCTGATGTAGCAGCTTGCTAAACAAGCCACCTCAAGGGTGGCAATTCAAATCTACCAGTCACTCTCAGAAGTCCTGTGACGGTCACTATGAGTCAGAATCGACCCAACAGCACACAACAACGAACTCCCTCTAAACCTCAATTTCATTGCAAATACCTATTTTCAATAACATAAAAGGGAACTATATACTCTGGTAGCATAGTGGTTACGAATTGGGCTGCTAACCTCAAGGTCGGCGGTTTGAAACTGCCAGCTGTTCTGCGGGAGAAAGATGAGGCTTTCTGTTCCCATAATGATTTACAGCCTCGGAAACCCTGTACAGGGTCACTATGAGTCGGAACCAACTCCATGGTACATAACCACCATCATACAGCTGGACATTACCAGATGGAATATACAGGAATCAAATTGAATACATATGTGGAATGAGACAGAGGAGAAGCTCAATATCATCATCTAGAGCCAGGCCCTGACCCTATGTGGAACACACCATCAGTTGCTCATATACAAGTTCATGTTAAAGCTGAAGAAAATGAAAACAAGGCCAAGAGAGCCAAAATATGAATTTGAGTATATCTCACCTGAATTTAGAGACCATCTCTAAGAACAAATTTGATGCATTAGACCAGAGGACTTGTGGAATGACATTAAGAACATCATACATGAGGAAAGCTAAGAAGACAGTAAACAAAAGACCAAAATGAATGTCAAAAGAGACTCTGAAACTTGCTCTTGAACATAGAGATGCTAAAGCAACTAGAAGAAAGGAAGATGTAAAAAAGGGAAGCAAAAAATTTCAAAGGACAGCTCAAGAAGACAGAGTAAAGTATTATTATAATAAAATGTGCAAAGTCTTGGAGTTAGAGTATCAAAAGGAAAGAGTATGCTTAGCATTTCTCAAGCTAAACTGAAGCAAAAATTCAAGCCTCAGACTGCAATTTTGAGGATTCTATGGGCAGCAAAATACTCGGTCGGTGTTAAACCATTTCAAGAGGTTTAGCATATTTATTAATTCATTTAAATATAATAATAGCAAACCCATTACTTCCTATTAGTAACATTTTAAAATAAAAAGTATTTTCCATAGCAAACAAACCAGCAGAGTTTTACATTTTTTACGAAGCTGTAATGTCCTGGTGTGGTGCTGGAGAGTAAACATTGGGCTGCTAGCTGAAATGTTGGTGGTTCAAACCCACCAGTCGCTCCTCAGAACCCTATGGAGGGTCACTATGAGTCAGAGCCAACTCATTGGCACTTAACAACAAGAGCAGTGTCTTCTTTAATTGAAGGCAGTGGATTGACATTTTTGGTTTTGTATTAATTACATTATAATATCACATGCCAAGTAGCTTATGGAAAACCATGCTATACATGCTTGATAGAATGAGAAACGTAAATGAATCTATGCTTCTGAGAATAGTTTGAACCCTCATGGACCACCTGAAGGGGTCTGCTGGATCACATTATGAGAAGCCCGTACTGTTACACAGGCTTGAATAGAGAGGCTCAACTTTTTGGTAGGGAAAACTTCACATAGGTTCAGTATGCTTCATATATTATCATTAGACAAACTTGTCTACTTGATTCTGATTCCTGGTGATCATGTTGGACAGAGTAGAAACACCACACGGGATTTCCAAAGTTGTAATCTTTTTGGGAGCAGGCTACCTGCCATGTTGAATCACTGATCTTTAGGTTGGTAGTTGACTGCTTAACCAGTGCACCATTTTTTGTTGTTTTTAAAATATGGTGGAGTTGGTTCTGACTCATAGCAACCCTACTAGGGTTTCCAAGGAGCAGCTAGTGAGTTTGAACCACTGACCTTGTGGCTAGCAGCCCAGTGCTTACCTTGCAGCGCCACACTAGGTGTCCATTTTAATCATTGTTATTATTAAGTGCTATCAAGTCAGTTCTGACTCATAGTGACCCTGTTTAGGGTTTCCAAGGAGTGACTGGGGCGTTTGAACCGCTAACCTTGTGGTTCAAACCAACTTTGCGGTCCAGTGCCTTACCCCTACAGTGCAACACCAGGACCCCGTGTTATCAGTTAGTGTTGTTAAGGACTGTCCAATCAATTCTGACTCATAGCAACACTGAAAATAGGGTTTCTGGTTGTTGTTGTTAAGTGCCGTCGAGTCTGTTCCGACCCATAGCGACCCTGTACAGGGTTTCTGAGGGTGTAAATCTTTACGGGAGTAGAAAGCCTCATCTTTCTCCCGCGGAGCGGCTGGTAGTTTCGAACCGCTGACCTTAAGGTTCGCAGCCCGATTTGTAACCAGTTTGAATTGCCAACCTTGTGGTCCACAGTCCAGTGCTGATCCTACAGTACTATACCAGGACTTAGGTGAGCCATTTTGCATTTTAATAGGGCAATGTCAACATTCCTTGCTGTAACTACTTGTAAACATACTAGTTTCACCATATTTTCATGTTCTGTGGTATTTCCATTTCCAGTTTTTCCTAATTGATAGGAAAAAAGTCTTCTTTTGTTAGGCCCCCTAGTGGCCTAATCAGGTAGGAGACCCCAAAAAGATCATCAGGACTCGAGTTCGATGCAAAATCAAGAGGTTTATTTACCAACGCGCTGGGGTCCACCTTCACAGACTCCTAAAACCAGGAGACAAAGGCGACGTTTGCCAACGCGCTCGGGTCCACCCTCACATAGACTCCTGAAAACAGGAGCTGAGGGTGACCCCGACTCATTATACACACAAGTTTTTATAGGGTTTCAGGGGGCATAATTGCACAATACCATAGATACAGTTTCTGATTGGTTGACATTTGGCAAAGTATGAAATGTTACAGTTTAATTGGTGTTGGCATGAAGCAACCTTTTTAATCTATAAGCAGATGGGTTTTGGCAATTGCAAGTGTTTAGTGTTTAGGATATTGTCATTCGTCTGGGTCAGTCTGACCATTATGAATTTCTCAAGGATTATTTTAATATTGAGGGCTAACTGATTGACCTTGTCTCTGGAGGGAACTAAAAACTGAGGCCTAGTCTATTTAAAATGCTTCTTGAAGCCTGACTAAAGTTTGGTCAAGTAACTAGACAAAATCAGTAGGGCCTTACACTTTGTTTAGTTTTGAATTCTTTTGCTAACTGAATATTTGACATTTTATATGTGTTCACTTATATCTAACACTTTTTTTGTTGTTAAGTACCATGGAGTCGGTTCTGACTCATAGTGACCTTGTACAAGGTTTCCAAGGCTGTGATTCTTTACGGGAGCTGAAAGCCTCAACTTTCTCCCACGGAACAGCTGGTAGTTTCGAACTGCCGACCTTGGGGTTAGCAGCCCGATTTGTAAACACTACGCTACCAGAGCTCCTTTATCTATCACTTAGCAATTGCTTTTTATCCTATCTGTTACTACTGACTGCAAGGTCCACAGCTGCTTCCTGGGAGAAAACTGAGGCTTTCTGCTTCAGAAAGATTTACAGCCTCAGTAATCCTGTCTGGGGTCACTGGGAGTTGGAATCAACTCGATGACAGTGGGTGGGTTTGGTTTTTGGAAAGTTGAAAATGAATTTAGTCACGATCCTTATGCAGTAGAGATTTTAAGCCTTTCTTGCTCACCATACTATTTTGCCTTTCTCTCTGCTGTATTTTATACCCATTTCCTTCTGACTCACAACAACCTTATAGGATAAAGTAGAACTGCCGCCCAGGGTTTCTGATACTGTAAGTGTTTATGACGACAACAGACTACTGTATCTTTCTCCTGTGCAGTGACTGATAGGTTTGAGCTGTCAGCCTTTCAGGTATTAGCTGCTTAACCACTAGGATGCCAGATCTGTATTTTATATATGAAGTAGTTTTGTCACTGGTCACAAAAAGTGATGTTTTTCCTTGTAAATCTGGACTTCTGGAGAATGATAAGCAAGTTAAACTAGAATTTGGAATCATACAATTGAAAAGGAATCTCCTGCTCTTTCTTGTCTTACGTTGCAAAACCATGAAGAGAAACTCTGGCTTATCTAATTTTACACAGTGAGTTGAGACTAGAGACTGACTTTCTCAAGTATATTTATTTTACTTCTCATTCTACCACTGCTTCTTAGTACTCCGTAGCTTGAGTTTGGAATGAAAATGCAGGACTTTGTCTTTAGATTAAAATTATACTCTTAATTTCTCATCATGAATTGTGTGCATTATGGAGGTTTGCGTGTAATTATAGTACTATTGTAGCCATTGAACTCAGTGGGGAAGAAAATAATTGTTTTGTATTCATCTTGGTATATTTTAAAATTTAGAACCACTCTGAGGACTTAAAGAGTTGTTGCCTTCTTAATATAAAAATAATTAGATTTTGACCACTATTTTGCCTAACAGGAAGCCTGCAGACTTGCAGAACTTGGCTCCAGGGACCCACCCACCATTTATAACTTTCAACAATGAAGTCAAAACGGATGTAAATAAGATTGAGGAATTTCTTGAAGAAATCTTATGCCCTCCTAAGTAAGTATGAAACAAAATATGCTTGGAAGTATTGACCCTTAGAGTCCTTATCCTGAGAGTACTTAAATTTTCACAATGTTAATTAGCATGGCTAGGAGTCCCTTCTGAGGTCATTCATAATTAATGCTACATAAATGACAGGATTGGCTGGCACGGTGGGTTTTCAGCTAGGCCAGTTAGCCATACTAAGAAAAGTGGGGAGCTGACTAAGATGTGTGATAAAGGCAGGTTTGGGGACCTGTTATATAGGTCAGGAGAGGCTGATAGAAGGTCATAAGTCTCAAACTGAGGTGAGAGGGGAGCGGGGAAAGCCAGGTTCAAACTGAACGGAGCAGCTGGAATGCTTAAGCAGGAGTGTAGCTCAGGCTGTCAGACGATTTGCTGTCACGTCCAAGGAAATGGACTTTCCAGACTCTATCCTTGGGATTCAGGTTTTCTGTTAAATTAACTTTTTATGGTTACTCGAGTAAAGGTTTGTTTACAGAGCAGATTATCAATTTTACATTCAACAAATCATAACACTTTTCTTCATTACCATGAGCGCAATCCTCTCCACACACCATCAGTTAATAGTATTTACCTCTATTCACTTCAACTCTTGAACTCCGCCCTTTGTCTCCTGCTACCTTCATCTTTTCTCTGTTAACCTCCTTCTTCTTGTGTATTGCCTGTCCCATCACCCGCATTAGCATACGCTTTAGGTACTGTTATTGTTGTTGCTATGTACCGTGGAGTTGGTTCAGACTCATAACAACCCTGCACAGGGTTTCCGAGGCTGTAAACCTTTATGGGAGCAGATAGCCTTTCTCTTTCTCTTGTGGAACAGCTGGTACTTTTAAACTGCTGACAGTGAGATTAGCAGTCGGATTCATAACCACTATTCTACCAGAGCTCCTTAGGCCTTGCGTATTAGCCTACTTGGTTAAGGCTTTCAGAGTGCTCAAATAGTCCTTATAATATGAGGTACTTTTTAGGAGTAGATGAATTCTAAAGATAGCTACTTGAATTGCTAATAATGTTGTTTAGCATCATATTGTAATCTTGGCATAGGTTCAAAGCATCTTTGGTTTCTTTTAGCCTCTTTCAGGTTCACTGTCCTGAAACAGAAATGTTTTGTTTCAGTCTTTCCCTCTCATCCAAGTTACTTCTTGCTACTTACAACTAGACTTTTACAAAAAACTATCAGGTCCAGATAAATTTCCAGGAATAAGGTTGGTGAATCACTTACTCTCTCTCCCCTAGCACTATGGATACACCAGTGCGGGAGGCACAGTCCCTGCCCTCAGAAAGCACAGTCAAATGGGGGCTGGTGGGAGTAGGGGAGTGAGGGCAGTCGGAAAGGCTCTAGAGAACAGAGAGGTTTGAGTTTTGTTGGTGGTGGTGGTTATGTGCCATTGAATTGGTTCCAACTCATGGTGAACCCGGCACAGGGTTTCCGAGGTTGTAAACCTTTACGGGAGCAGAAAGCCACATCTTTCTCCAGAGGATCAGCTGGTAGTTTTGAACTGCTGACTCTGAGGTTAGCAGCCCGACTCCTAACCACTACTCTACCAGAACTCCTTGAGTTTTAGTAAAAAATAAAAATGGTGGCAGGTCAACCAAATAGGTAAAAAGCATTCTAAGCAGGAGAAACAGATATGTTTTTATAATACTGTTTATTTGTGGGGAGCTCTGCAGGTAGTTCAGCCAGTGAAATGGGGACAGGGTAGGCTGGCTGAAGTCCTAGAATGACACCTTTGACCACCACTAGCTCATCTTCTATTGTGAGCAAATCTGGTCTCTGCTTGAAATTTTGTATTAAGTCTTAAAAACTTTTTTAATGATAATTTGTATGTTTTAGGTGATAATTTACAAATCAGGTTAGGTTCCCCTTTACTAGTTTTTATAAAATTGTTCCATGCTGTTGGTTATAGTTTTTACAGTGTGTCAGCATTGTCTTTTTTCCATTCATTAATATAGCTTCCCTTATCCCCTGTCCTCCCATCGTCTCTTCTTTGCTTTTGGGTAACTATTGACAGTTTGATCTCATATAGATTACCATTTAAGGGGGCATATTACTCATTGGTGGCATTATTTATTTTATAAGCCAATCTATTATTTGGCTAAAAGGTGACCTGCAGAAATAGCTTCAGTTCCAAGTTCAAAGGGTATGTTAGGGCAATAGTTGGGGGTGGGATTCCTTTAGATGCTTATCTTTTTAGTAGGTCTGGCATTTTTTAGGAATTTGAGTTTGTGTTCTACATTTTCCTCCCATTCTTTCCAGGACTTTCCGTTGTATCTCTGGTCAGATTGGTAGTGGAGAGGTCAGGCCCCATCTAGTTATTCTGGTCTCAGGTTAGAAGAAGTTGTGGTTCATGTAGGTTATTGGTCCTGTGAACTACTTCTTCTTTGATCCATTGATTGCCTTCATTTTTTTTTGCTCATATGAGTAGAGACCAACAGTTGGTGTCTTCGATGGCTGCTTGCAAGCTCTTCCGACTCCAGATGTTATGTACCACACTCAGATGGAGCAGCGTTATCTTGGTGAATTACATTATGTCATTTGACTAAGTTGTCCCAAGAGTAAGCTCTAAGTAGTTTGATTCTGTAAATCTAGCCTGTAAGTTGTTTGGTATGTCTAGGGAGCCTGCGTAGCCATGTCTCCTAAGATTTCATTTCTTCAGACCTTTCTAATGCTATATTCTAAAAGCTTATTTCTATCCTCTGCCTGCCTTCCTGTCCTTCTTAGAGTCCCACACTTCTTTTATCTGTGCTTCCCTTCCATCCCCTTTAGCTGTATGTCCAGACCAACATTAATAAAAGTATCTTGACTTTCATCCCAGGCTGCATATATAATTTTGTTGTTGTTAAGTGTTGTCGAGTCTGTTCTGACTCATAGCAACTGTGTATAGGGGTTTCCGAGACTTTAAATCATCGAGGGAACAGAAAGCCTCATCTTCCTCCTACGGAGTGGCTGGCGGCTAGAACTGCAGACCTTGTGGTTTGTAGTCCAGTGCTTATATAGAATTGTTGTTAAGTGACGTCAAGTAGGTACTGACTCATAGTGACTCTGTACAGGGTTTTGGAGGAACAGCTAGTGGGTTTGAACTGCTGACCTTGTGTTTCCCAATCCAGTGCTGATCCTGTAGCACCACACCAGGACCAATAAATTGAAACAGGGATCTTTATGTGACGTACAAATCAAAGCTTTACGCATATCAGTAAGGAATGATAATGAACAGGCATTCAATTTATTGGAAATAATTTCTGAACCTCCTTGATCCCTTTTAGGAGTCCTGGAGGCACTGTCTGAGGGCAGGTTGGCAAACAGAGACCTGCCACTTACCACAGTTTTTGGTAGTTCAAACCCACTAGCTGCTCCTCAGGGAAAATGATGAGGCTTTCTCCCCACAATAAGAGTTTAGAGCCTTAAATTTTGTGCAAGGTTGCTATGAGTCAGAATCTGTCTGATGGCAATGATTTTGGGACCCTTTTTATTCTTAGAGTTTGTCAGCTTTGAGGGAAGTTCTCTATTTGCCAACTTGCCCTCAGACGTTAATTGAAAGTGATCTTCCTCATGCAACTATAGTTTATTGTATCAACATTACATTTTTCAAGTAAAGACAATATTCAATAACGACAACAAAAATCACGAATTTCTATTGTATTTCCTTGTTTCTCAGGAGGAATAGACATTAAAAGAAATAGTAGCGCTGATGTCAAATTGTTCTGATTTCTTGGCATACAATGCTCTTTAAGACATAACAGCTTTGGAAGGGACCTTAAAAACATTTTCATTTTGCCTTTTATATATAGAAATTATGACACTCTCACTTTTGTTTTGGACATATTAGTAAAGATACTATAACTAGAGATGAGCGTTTCTTTCAGTTTGGATTGAATGCTTGAAGATATTTCTGTTACGAAGTGTTTATAGTGTTCTAAATTTTCTAGGGCTGTTTTCCTTGTTTATGTGTTGTTGCTATTCTGAAGAGAGTTTCTAGGAGTTTTGTTTTTTACTTTTGTGAGTTGAATGAAGATTTACAGAGCAGATCATTCATTGACACTCACCAATTCATTCACATTTTGTTTCATCTCATTGATTGCAGTCCCCACAGTGTAACATCAGTGATCCCACTTCTTCCCTGTGCTTCCTGTTTCCATTCTTCCTTCTTGCCTAACCCTTCTGAACTTCGGCCTTGGGTAAATGCTCCCCCTTTGATCTCAAATGATTCATTATTCTAAGTTGTGTGTAGCTCCATAATGTTATTATTCCCCTTATGTTTTGTTGTTGTTGTTAAGTGCCATCAATGTTGTTGTTAAGTGTCATTGAGTCGGTTTGGATGCATAGGGACCCTAGAGGATTTCCACGGAGCGGCTGGTGAGTTTGAACCACTGAACTTGTGATTCAGACCGACCTTGCGGTCCAGTGCTTTATCCCACTGCACCACATAGACCTGTTCCCCTTATTGACCTGTCTGTTTGGTTGAAAATGGAGCCATGGGAGTGAAGGGGTACAGAGGACCTTAGTCCTAGGGTTTTCACAAGAGAGGATTCTTCTTCTTCTTCTTTTAATTTTTATTTACATAGAAGACTGATGTTCTTCTATGTAAACTATCACTCAATTCACAATAAAAATTAAAAAAAAAGAAGAAGATCAGTTTTACACTCATCCTATCCATTTCATTGTAATGGTTACAGTCATACCAGTTTCATTGCAAAAATTACAATCCCCTGCATGCTCCATCATTCAACAGTATTTGCTTTTATTCCCTCTGTTTTTTTTTTTGAATGTGCACCCAAACACTCAGGATATAATCCTTCAAACAGCCAAAGGGCACACCCTGCAAACCTGCTCCCTGCTGCCAGCACATATCCCCTCTCCCTCCATGAGTTTTGAGTCCTCAGCTGCTCCATCTCTCCATGTCATCATCTCTGTCTCCATCTCTGGCATCGCTGCTTCTCTGGGTAGGGTCCCACACTCTGCTCCTGCTCTTCTCCCTTAATGGTCCCAGGGTCCT